TCAACATTCACCACTAGTATGTCGACATTTACTGATGTAAGTCAGAAATTAGAGTATATGGAAAATATTTCGGACATACACCAAGCGACTAGGTGAATGTTGACATTCACCGCTGAAAGTCGACATTCTCCAGATTTCGGTGTTTCACCGTAACATATATATATATATATATATATGGCATGAACTATTTCATGCTAGTTGTAGAAAGAGTATAAAATACCATTAGAGTTGGATTTATTGTTGAAGCGTGTCTATCATTTACTCAGAAAGAAGATCTAATGTAGTCGCTAGGGCATCGGAGAGATAGGTAAAAAAAATCTGAATTATTTTCTCAGAATCGTATTATTGAAGATTTTATGTTATATCGTATCACCTCATCATTAAGCAGACACGGCTCTGGTTGTAATACTTTTCGGAAGTTTTTGCTTTTCTTTTGCTGATTTGACAGCTATAATTATTGCATCTGTAATGATGGCTCGAAGGTAATTAATGGCACAAGTGATTTTTTCCTTATTAATAAGTCGGTTTAAGCCTTGTAATTTATTGTAGATGATAGGATATATATTGTAGATAATATGATATATATGCATATATATATATATATATAAGCATTTTCAACCGGTATTATTGCTTAATCTATTCAATTGAAATTAATTAGATGCTAATCTGACAATAATTTAGGAAATGCCAGAAAATCCAAAACGGTAATAGCAATTACTCAGGATAGTTATACCTAGGCTTTTGACAATGATCTGTTGTCATGAAAGCTGCCTGCTTTGTACCTGTAAGTGTAGCTTTTTTATGTATTGTATAATCATGTAAAAAGTAATCACAGGGGTTGTAAACATGAAAGTTTCAGTCTCTGTGCTTTTCGTTGAGGTGGCTTGAGATCGTTTTTGTGTGAAAAATTAAAAATTTCTTTTAGGTCTTAAATGAGTAGCCGACTGCCCACGGCTCTTCAGGAGATAAAAATTACTCTGATAATTAATTTAAAATTTATTATGCATTAATAGTATTAATTTTATCAAGATGTACATCGATTTTTATAAATTTCACATTACCTTATTCAAGTACTGCAATTTCCCATCTCTTTTTATGAGATAAAGGAAATCCAGCTTTGTTGAACAGTTGTAAAAAGAAGAAAGTAATTGTTATTGACAATTGTGAGTGATGTATGCTTAGAGACAATGTTAAAATAAAGGAGAGAATAAAGATGTGTTTTGCAGCTATCGCTATGCATATCTCATGTGTTTATAAATAATGCAATCAAAATGTAGTTTCTATGAAATTTAAAATCCCTCGAGTCATAGTTACTGCGGTTATTGTCCTAATTCCGATTCAATTCAGAAGTAAATTTTAATTTAGAATTAAATTTACGCATTCATTGAGATTCAGCATTACCTCAAACCTCATTGAATGGAATTACAAGTATATTTAGTTGTTACTTGCACTAATAAAAACAAAACGTATCGGAGGATCCGGTTTGCATTATTTTCTCTCAACAATCTAGTGCTTTAGGCTGTTGCGTAAAAATTATCAGACATATATCGTTTACGGTTGAAAATTTAGTTTATTATTCTTAATAAACTTCAGAATTTTCTTTTAAACAATTTATTTAATTTATTAACTTATACATTTTTAATTATCATCTGAAGCTTTTTAAAGACTATTCCATATGATTTCATACATTTTTCTAGAAAAAATTATGAAAGCATGTCCTTTTAAAAACTGTGGCAAAAACTGAACCTTTGAAAAAGATACGAGGGCATTTCGAAAAGTAAGATACAATAGCTCGCATTTAAAAAAAAAAAAAAAAAAAAAAAAAAAAAAAAAAAAAAAAAAAAAACACATTTATTTAGAAAACATCAGTTACATGTTATTAACTGGATTATTGATTATTTTTCGACATAATCACCCCCGTAATCCAAACATTTATTAAGTCGGTGCAGAAGCTTTTGTATCCCGTAGTCATAGAAGGTTGCCGCCTGTTGAAACCCAGCGCGCACACAATTTCCTGTACCCTAACTTGACGTCACAACTTCATAAGAGTTGTCATTGACACATCCGTATGATATATGCAATTCTTTCATTTGAACGTCTCTTCGCACAAATTGCTTCCTCTGTTCTCTAAAGAAGGCATCGCGATCACAGATGCCGACCTGTTCTTTGTTCGTCATGAACATCGGTCCTACCTTCAAGAAATGACGACACCATTTCGTTACATTTTGTCGAATCATAATGTTCCCATAAACAGAAACAATTTCTTTGTGAATATCCGCTGGTCGCTGACCTTTTGCATGAAGAAAACGTATGACGGAGTGCACTTCGCATTTGGCGGGATTCTGAATCGGCGCAGTCATTTTAAACACCATCTACTCCAACCAGAATCAACGGACAGACAGACAGACAAAGTAGACAGATGTCTTGTTTTGCACCCGCTAAGTCTTTCTGCACCGATGGGCGAAAAATCAAGCATAGGTGCGAGGAAAGGTATAAGAAAGAGGGGCCATTTCGTATTTGATGAGAGTAAAAAGGAACTTCGTACATTTGTACGAGTTCAAAAGGCCAGGAAGAAAAGATTGGGACAAAATAAATTTAAAAAAAATGCCCAAAAATAATAGAGGGAAAAAAAAAAAAAAAAAAAAAGGGGGCCTATAGAAAGAAAAGGAAAAAGTAAAAATCCTAAATACGATTGTGTCCATGGTGTAGTTAAAAGGAGAAGAAACTGTCTTCATTTACAATAAATAGTGTCTCACAGGTGTGTTGTGTAGTGAGTGTGTTTGGTAATGGTGAATAGATGTGTTACTGGGAAAAAACAATATTGACGGTGTTAAATGCTTCGTATCAAGGTATTTTAGCATGGAATATAAAGTAATAGTACGCTTGCATCCTGAGATATCACAAAGTCATCAAAAAAGTATATTAATTTAACCAAAGTAACTTATGCTACTTTCATTCTCAAATTTTCAACATTTTTCAAAAAGCAGCAGCAGGTTAACAACATAGAACCATATACAATAAAAACAACCGCATACACCCAAATAAGAAATAAATAAAAAAATAATATATATAATATAATTCTACTTTAAAACCTTAGGAGATAATATAATCAATTATCAATACTGTTAGGAAATAAATATTATTACTAACTTTACAGCATTGCGCAGTAATAATAACTTTTTCGCACTAATGGATTAAGTTCATACAACATTATTATATTATAATATTTATGTGTGTAAATTAGAGTATATGTATTAAAAACACAAATTAAACAGTATTTATTAATTTAACTATCATAATTTATTACAAGATTAATATTTTACTATCATAATTTATTACTAGTTTAAATAATGTTATATAACACAATGAGGCACACTGTTATTTATATAGCTCATAGTTCTAAAAATTCAATTAAGGCGTGAAGAATAAACCATCCCTTACATATGGACATTTAACAGATAGCAAAACAGTATGAGAAAAAATCGGTGAGTATAATATTATTTAAAGGCGAAACTATATTCAAGCGTCTAGAAAGAAAGAGAATCCAGAAGAATCCGAGAGGGAAATGCGCGATGCCAAATTATCCCTCTCAATCCCCAATTTTCCCTCTCTCGAGATTCCTTAGGGCTTTGTAAGTGTTGAAGACGTGAACTGAACGCTGGCGTCTGTTTCGAGTTGATACACAAAGGAAGCCACAAGCAATGGCAATTTCACGTATTTTTTAATGCTTTAAACTGATGAAAAATGATTTATTGATTTAAAGGCATTATTTATAGAAATTGATTTAGTTTAGATGAAAGAAAAGTACTTATCTTAAAATTCCAGGCTTTTGGAGTATAGTATATCCTTACATTGTCCGCTGTTTTATTCTCGTCAGCATCGAAGCCGAAATTCATTGGAATGATATAGATGTTATAGAAAGAAAACATTTTTCAAAGTAATTTAATTGATAATCACCAAGAGGAAAGGAAAAATTTTCACTTTTTTACGGAGCGCAGCGATCGTGCTGCCGCTTCTGACCACAGTACAAATAAATGTCCCCAGAATCAACGTTGAAATGCCGAAGTGGAGAAAGCTAACAGTTCAAGGTTAACACCTGTGTTGCCAACTTGCTCACCAATTTTTTTTTTCCTCTGGTGTACGGCGTATCTTTACTTTTCGAAATGCTCTCATATCTAAAACTGACGTGGCAAGCAGCAAAAAGTTGAGGTTGAGTTAGCTGGTATGAACTGGCATTAAAGAACACAAGGCATGCAAAATCAGGCCCAGAACATCATTGAACATCACACAGGATCATGATATGGACTGGAATTTCAGTAGGATATCGCCTTCAGTTGTATACCTTTAAAGTCGTTTCTGTGACAGCTATGTTGTTTATGAATGCTTCTACACCCCATAGCAGTTGCTTCTGATTTCCTCCTAATGGATGATAGTGACCGTCGCCATCGAACCAACATTGTTTATAAGTGCCTTGAATATAAGAATACTTCTCATATAGAGTGACAGCAGTATTAACTCCCCTTATCTTCTTGAAAATCTTTGGGATACTCCTGAACGTGCTGTCTATGCGCGTTCACCTCCTGCAACGAGTCTCAAACAGTAGGAAGCTGCTTTGATGCAAGAATGGCCATTGCTGCATTCTGGTTAATAATTTCGTTGAAAACAGGAGGAATCGTTGTAAAATTGGTGTGAAGATCCGAGATGGTCCCATAATTTCTTAATGTAAGTTTTGTTTATTTACTTTAATAATCAATTTGTTAATGACTAAAATGTGTCATATAATTTAAAAAAATAAATACTGTTTAAATTTCTGTTTATAATGCTTGTTTTATTTCATGCATAGACTTATTTTATACCTTCATGTGGAATGTAGTGTTAATCAAAATTTTACTTTTCCAGTCCAATTTTGTTGATTTTATTGCCAAGATTAAAAGCGTAGGTTTGGCAACATTAGAAATTTTTATGTTGTATTTTTCACTAGAAACCGTTGGCAACATTTTATTGTTATTTGTAAACAATATTCTGTTTTCGGTGTTTCAGGTTAAACGTGTGGGTGAATTAACTATTGAAAATGAGCTCATCTTTTGATGTGAAGTTATTTTGGATGGGTACCTTATGTGGCATGTTCTCATCTTTTATACCAATAGTTGTTAAAATGGTAATTTTGTTATATTTGTCTAGTTATATTAATAAACAAATTTCGATTTTGCATCTTAGCTGTTCCGAGATTATGCTGCCCTCTTAATATATATATATATATATATAATATTTTGCGATTTACTCTAAGAGCTTCATATGGGAATGTGTTATTTAGATTTTTTATCCAACAGAGTTAGAATATTTATAATCTTAAAGAGTTTTTGAAATCTTTGGTTTAATGTTGGTGTTTTGTACTTTAAAAATCCCAGTTATTATTTAAAAAGCTAAGATCCGGCTTAGGGTTATAATATATAAATAAATAATAACTTCAATTATATTAAAGTTCATTTTGTTATTGCTTAGGATTCATGCGTATTGTTTTGAAAATTATGTAGTTTTCACCGTTGAAGTCCAATTTAACTCACGTTTGGAATGTAATAAACATTCTTAATTTATTCAGAAGAGTTATAACACCTTTAAGAAAATCTGAGGCATGCTACATTTTATTAAATGGAAAAATGCGTAAATGTTCTAATTTTATAATAGCAATATAATTAGAAACGTGAACTGTCGTGCTTTTAATTATTAATATAATGTGAAACCGGTGTAGCTGTTTTTATGTTTATATTAATTTAAAAAAAGTAATTTACTCACTAGCCCTTCATTCTATAATTTTTCAGATTTTAAAAATGTGAAGAAGACTAAATAATCGTTATTTGGAATTACAGTTGATTTGGCAGTTGTTGAAGACTTGTCTACAAAAACCACAGGATTAAAATATATTAGTTTTGTATTTAATTTAAACAAAAGGATATTGCCATTAATCAGGAAAACTAGTTGGAATTTTTCTTTTTTCTTTACAATGCAAAATGTGTTCTGAGATATTTTGTATAATAACGAGGGCTGCATATTAAAAAAAATATGCTTCTACAATTTAATTTCATGTCAGATAGCATACAAGAGTATTTTTAATTTAATTTAAATATAATTTAAAAATTACCATATGAATAAAAATGAAAGCATGAAAATTGTAAGTAAGAAAAAAAATACATCTCTGTTATGTTATATCTTTTTTATTCTTTTACGATAAAAAATTTTCATTGGAGTAACATTTTTTATTTAATACATGGGATTTGGAGAAAATCTTTATGTAGGAAGAGTATGTATCTCATAAATTCTTTGTTGATCTTTACAATATGGTACTGGTAGTTTAGCGACATTTTGGAGCGATAAAGGTTACTACCTGGGACTTTGGTAATAATGTTGAGCAGTACTAGTTCCGATTACGCATTATTTTGTGTGAGGAAATGAGAGATCATGGGATTGTTCATGTGATATTAATGGACGAATTACGGTTCTTTATCAGGAAAAAATCTGGAATTTTGTATTTGGCTTTATTCTGTGTTGTGTGAAACAGTGTTCGTGAATTTTTGGATCCCATGGCTGTACTAAAGTGAATTCGAAATGGGTATTTATGTATTATTAATTTAATTTTTTTTAGTAAGTGTTTTTGAATTAATTATATTTTAATAATTAAATGATAGTATTTGTGAATTTTATGTTTGTAGGATTTCGTATACATTTTAGTTGAAGTAAACGGCATGGAAATAATTTAAATATCTGACACTAAGTATTGTAATGGTTGCGGTATGAATTCGTTGGTGAGTGTATAATGTAATGATGATTTAGAGTAAAGTTTTTGATATTTTATTTATTTTATATTGGAAATATTCATATTGGAAGGGTAAAATAGTTTTTCGCGATCAGGTAATTTCTATATGTTTTTTTACCGGGTTTAAAGATTGAGAAATTGTCATGTATTTTCGTGAAATTTTTCTAATTTATGAGAAAAAAGCAGTGTACATGGATATAGTGAAGAGTGTGCGCAATGCCATTTTTGTGCAATTCTGGGATGTTTTTTAAGTAAAAAATAAGTCGGCGTGTAGATGGTTTTATGTGTATGTTTATTTGAAAACGCTTAAGGAGATGGTATTGTGCACTTTTTCCTCAATTTTGCAGTGAATTTTGTCATGATTAAGCAGTCTTGTTAGATAAAATTTCTAGCATAAGTGTAATTCGGCTAGTAGATTGTTGAAGAATGTTTCAGTAGATAAAAAGAAAAGAAACATGTCTTTACTTCATGAAGACAAAATGGCGGCAGGAAAAAAAAATAGAGGGTTGCTGTAGGAGAGTTGGTCGCCAAATTTTCGCCAAAAAAACGCCAAGTTACCATAATGTAAAGATCAACCGATATGGCTGTTAGTAACGAACATACTGAGGGCCTGGGTTCGAAACCCAGAGAAGGTATGTATGTTTGTAAGCAAATAGTATTTGTGCAGCAAGAGGGAACTCAAAATACACAATGAGCCGAAATTCTCTCGAAAGGTTGATGGTAGGGGAGGAGGGTTGGGAGACCTTTGGCCTGCACCCAGGGGTATTCTTTGGAATTTCATTTAATGCAGTAGCTTAGCAGTTATTAAAGCCTGTTGATGCCTTAATATGCACTTGAATGCACTGGTGCCACCATTGGTTCAATGTGTACCTGTATCATTATGTTCTCTAAGAAAATTCAATGTGCACTTTTATAATGTTGATTGAATTTTTAAATTTTTCTCCTTATAGGACAGCACATGTTATTTGATTTTCTGTAGCAAGTTATATTTGCCAGATTTCAGCTAAAGAACATACTTTTTTCATGAATTCATCTCAGCTGCAAGAAATGAATTTTTAGGTTAATTATTTCAATAAATAATGAAAGAAATAAAATGATGCATTTTTAAAATGTTTTATTAGCAGTATGTACTTTAAGAACAAGAACACTTTATAAAATTCAATGAAAATAAATTTAGTGGCAACATTAGTGCATATATCTTTTTAAAGAAAATTGTTTGGTATGTATTGTCTGGTAAAACTATATTTGATGGTGCCCCCTTGGCGAACTTGGCGATTTTCGGTGGTACATGTACAAAGAGTTTATGCAATTCTTTGATTTGTTATTTTAGCTTTGTTTAATGGCAATTTTCATGCCAAACAGCGCTGCTAAACAAAGCCAAAATAACAAGTTAAAGAAATGCACAAACTCGGTGTTCATGTACACATTGACCTATTTTCACTTAAAAAAACATCCCAGAATTGCACAAACTCAGCATTGCACACAAAAAATATATAATCTCAATAAACTGTGTTTTAAATCAAACAATGAAATAACATAAAAAAGCACTATGCACTACACAAAAGAAATAGCCACCTACATTATTTAAAAATTTCTCTGTCTTCAGTCTGTGGCACACAAAATTCCTAAATAGCATCCAAAAACTTTCCTCAAACCATGTTCCTTTTCTAATGGAAAGCTTTATATGGTGACCATTTGAACCTTTCTTGCAACAAACCCATTCAAAGACATCTGAACGATCTTTACATTCGACCATCTGCATTTCCTTTGTACAAACAGTACACTTATATTTGCTACTAATTAAACCTTCATTTACACACCAGTCAATTAATGCTTCCTCCCATTCGTTCCAAATCCTATAGAAATTTCAAATTATTCTTACCACATTCAGCCGTTTTATAGTGTAAACCACAAAATAAGCAACTTCCTAACCAACATACAACACACAAACAAGCCCTTACAAATGTTTTCCCATCAGTCAAATTCACGCAACCAATTATGTCATAATAGGGTTATCATAACATTCAACTACTAAGGTTACCATAAATGAAACAACAACTTGGCGATAATCCAACGGGCACCCTTTACTTGGGTTCCCATAAATGAAACAACAACTTGGCGAGGGCACCGTCAAATATAGGCTAGCCATATTGTCCTATAACAGTAAAGATCCGAACTTTTTTTTAAAATGTAGTAGTTTGAAGTTTTTTAAAGTAGGAATTTAAAAATTTTCTGTTGTTCATGGATCTTATGGTCGGATATTAAAAAAGAAATAGAAAGGAAGGTATTTATTATTTCATTTTTCTCTGTTAATATAATTGACTGTTAATTTGAGAAGTTGAACTAATTGCACACTTTTAGGTGCTGAAACTTGTATTCTGAAAATAAATTTGCAGAGGTGCAGAAACAAGTATAACGTTGAATTATGTCATATTATGTTGTAATAGATTTTGCATTTGAACTTCGTAAATATACTTTTATACATAAAAGCTAATAGATATGTAATAGTGTGTATATTTTTTATTAATATTAAAGATTATGTGTTGTGATTGAAGAAATTGCTAAGAAATTTTCATGACTTCTATTTTATTCAGATCTTGCAAGTTATTAACAGAGAAACTGAAATGGAAGCTAATCTAAGAAGACAAGTTTGTGATTTGAAAGCAGAGTTGGGAAGCATTAGTATGGTTGATGAATTTGCAAAATATGCAAAAATAAAAAGAAAAGTGAATAAGGTGACAGATGAGCTTTCGCATCAATGTAAGTATTTGATGTGCACATTATATCTGAAATCAGATTACATATATTCTATGTTATATTCTACATTTGTTAAGTAATGTAATTGTTATTTGTCTTTGCCTTTTTATGTAGAATCAAACTTTATTAGCCAAGATTAAAAGAAACAGGAGAAAACTTTAACTAATCAAATATTAGATTTATCAAAGAAACATTCGTTTCAGATTTAAACATTTTGGCATTCAACTTATCAGAAATTTTGACTTACTAAAATCTGAGTAATCGGAACCATTGTATTATGAACAGTTTAAGAATTTAATACTTTCAGTACTTGTGTAAGATAATATACTTGTATACATAATACTACTAATATACTTGTCTAATATACAGGGTGTACTGTAAATTTTGTGACAAATTTCTAAAGGAGATAGGGCACATTATAAGGATTAAGAATTGCATAGGAACCTATATGCAGAAATGTTAGGGGTAAGTGGTAGCAGAGGTAGAAGATAGGAAAAGAAGCAAGAGTAATTAATTTGAAACATTTATTGGACAGGAATACAAATGGTGTACAACAGCTTGAATGTTACAACAGATGCTTGAAGTTTGCACCATTAGACGGCAAACATGCCTGACACCGATGGACCATTTGAATGCTGTGAATTATTTGATCTTTCTGGAGCAGGTTCTTCCCAATTTGCTTGACGATGTTCCACCAAATGTGAGGCACAACATGCAATTCTGACATGATGGGGCCCCTGCTCATTTTGGACTGGATGTTCGTAGCCATTTGAACAGACCATTCCTGTGTCAATGGATTGGGCAGGGTGAACCAGTTCCCTGGCCTCCACGCTCACTGAATTTATCAAGCCTTGATTTCTTTTTGTGGAAAACCATCAAAAGTGTCATGTATCACGATCCTGTTGTGTCTGAAATGGATCTCATGGCAAGATTTGCCTGCGCAGCTGCTACACTCAAAGAAACTCTCTGTGTGTTTGAACATGTCTGGCAATAAATGATCCGTTGGTGTCAAGCATGTTTGGTATCTGTTTAACGTACAACAGATTCAAACTGCCATTTGTATTGATGTCCAATAAATGCTTCAAATTAATCACTCTTGTTTCTTTTCCCATCTTATGCCTTTGCTACCCTGGCATTACTGGGCATGGGTTCCGATGCAATTCTTAATCCTTATGATGTGCCATATCTTCCCTATAAGTTTGTTGCAACATTTACGGTACACCATGTATAGTCTATACTAGTCTGATATAATACTTGTCTAATATAAGAGACACTTGTATTACAATGATGAGGTAATGATGCTGTATGCCCCGAGTATGGCTACCGGATCATAACATTAATTGCATTTGTAATGTACTGATATAGTGTCACTCTGAATACAGTGTCAAATAAGCTCTGCATAGTAAGTGGCATGCAGTAGGAAAAGAAATTATTTTAGTTCCAGATACAAATTTGGATTATGTAAGTAGGGAAGTGAAAATTTTTCTGTTTTCTATCCAAGCGAACAAAATATGTCATAAATAAGGTAAATTTAGCATTTGGGGTGTTTTTGACAAATGGTTTTCAAGTTTGACTTAACTACGGTTGGGACACATGTCCCAGCCGTAGGTAATGGTGGGATACATATGTCCTACATGTAGTGATTGACTTTATAAGCACACTCACTATTCTGGAAAACTTTACTATATGAAATAGATTTTACATCTTATGCTATAGGGTAAAACATTCTTTGCATAACCCAACATTACACGTTGAGCAACTCATATTTGTTCTTTTCTGTGTGTTCATTTGTGTACAACAAGCACAGCAGCATCTTGATTTTCCAACTATTGGAAGATGATCCCCAGCATTCAGGAGATTCTAAGTATTTTTTAACCCAGCAATAATTTTTTAAACTTGTAGTGGGACATATATGTCCCATTGGTAGTCAAAGGGTTAAGACATAAAAATCATAAAGTCCATTAACACCTGTTTAACAAGGTTTAAGCCAATCATGGAAGTTGCACATCCATAAATGTGTAGCTGACACAGTGAAACTGTCAACCTATGTCAAATTAAAGTTTTCATTGCTGTGATGGTTAGTTCTTATACTAAGTGGCATAAAGTTACAGCATTTAAGTTAACTACTTAAAGCAATTTTTCTAATGTAGCAAGATCAGGTTGCCTAGGAACAAAGCTCAGCTTAGACCACTTATTTTAAAACCACCATGTGAACGAAGCTGTAGGGCGCTCACCTACGCCAACTTTATCAGAGAATAACAACAAATCTGTCAAAGTCGGTTTCCTATACTTGTGAAGTTCCCAGACGGTTTTCAAATATTAAGATTGCATTGTATACAATAATCATAGATTTTAGTATTAATGCTATAAAATGCTGCCATTTATTAGTATATAGGCCTTTACATCATTAACAAAACAAAATACTGGCTTATTTATCATGGAATTCTGGTAGCAGTAAATTTCAGTGATTGAGTATATCTAAATCCTCCCATTCATTGACCATTTAACTATCAGTGAAAAAATTTACGTTTTACTTGCAGGTTTTTTACATGTTTTTCATTTGTTTTAAATTTAGATTTATAATAAATACAATTTTCATTGTTTTTCACTTGTTGACTAAATACCTGAATAAGAAGGTTTTAATGGTACTTCCTTAGTATAGTAGCCCCCAAAATTTAATAGTTAATCAACTGAAATGTAACATGTAGCGAGGTATAAGAACACATGACGAGATTCAATGAGCTATTTCGGTTGACTAGCGATTCAGTCTTGGGGTTCGTTATAATAAGGAACTACCATTTTAATTATTGTATTTCTGGAAGAGTTTTTAAATAAGAAATTTTATGTCTTAGATTCTTTCTAATTGATTTCTTTTGTTACTTCACAGCTGATATTAGGAGTTCATATACATTGAAAGTTCGTTTTATTGCAACTGCTGCATTGTATACCATTATGGTAAGTTAAAACAGGTACAGGAATCCTCAGTTATTTTACTTTGTAAAGGTGCAGAATTTGATTTGTGATATGTTCATTATACTTTTTTTATTATTTTTGAGCAGTTTTTGTTAAATTTATGTTAATAATTTAAAATAAAGATCTATGATTATTTATTTATCTACCGACTTCAAAAAACTAAAAGTGAGCTTAATAACTGAAATGTTAGTTGAAGACAAACACAACTGCAGACCTTTGTTGCAACATGACTTATTGTTTGTGATATAAAGAGAATGAGTCTAAATATTATTGACAAATTTATAGTGCATGTAGAAAAGTTAGTATGACAGCATATGAATGGAAACCTATGATCATCTGTGTTATTCTGGGTCATGAGAAACCTTTGATTGTAAATTATTGCAGTACAGTGGTACCACAATATACATCTGCTTTGAAATATATCCAACTTGGTGTACATCTCATTTGGATGTAGAAATGTTTACTTGAAATACAGCTTGAGTTCAGTGATTCATGACTGTGCTCACCATCGCTTTTAATCTATTTTCATGATAATGCTACATCTGACCATAAGTGTAATTACGAGGGTTGGAACTTTAATAGTGGCAACTATTTATTTACAAGGAATACAAAAGTGATTCATGTCACCATATTTTACAGTCCTTCAATATAGTCGCCAGCATTGTGTACAACCCGCTTCCAACAATGTGGGAGTCGCAGAATACCTGTAGCAGCGCCTGTTTTGTTGATAGTTTGAATGGACCGGTCTACTGCAGCAAGAATCTCAGGAACAGTTTGAAAGTGAGTGCCACGAAGTGGTTCCTTCATCTTAGGAATTAAGCCATAGTCAAAAGGGCTTAGATGTGGGGAGTATAGTGGATGTTAAAGCACTTCCCAGCCCCATCCCTTGAACAAATCAGTCACAGCTTGCGCTGCATGCGGCTGAGCATTGTCATGCAAAATGAGAGGAGCATTCTGCAGAGAAAGTGTCACCGTTTTTTTCTCAAAGCTAGTCGGAGATTGTGCTAAAAAAATGAGCAGTAATACTGCGCAGTGACGGTCTGCTGTGGGGGAACAGTATCCGTTAGGATGACACCATCACAGTCGTACACGAGAATCACCATAACTTTCACAATGCTGGGGTTCTGGCGAAATTTCGAACGTCGTGGTGACCCATGATGACGCCCATTCGTTTGATTGGCGTTTCAGTTCTGGCTGGTATGATCGGGCCCAAGTCTCATCCAGCGTAATGATACGGCGTAAAAAAGCATCTCCTTCGCTCTCATAGCGCTCCAGGTGGGTTCGGGCAGCATCGCATCGTAGCCATTTCTGCATTTCTGTCAATTGATGTGGAACCCATCGTGAAGCAATTTTTCTCATGGACAGGCGTTCCTTCAAAATGTGCAGCACAGTCGTATGCGCTAATTCTGTTTGTCCGGCCAGCTGACGAATCATTTGGCGGCGATCACTGTCCATTAGTGCGGCAACAGCTTGCACGTCTGCATCGCTCACACTCGGACGACCTGGCCGCAGCATGTCTGCCACGTTTTGGCATCCTTCATTGAATGCTTTCACCCATCTTGCTACGGTTCTGTAAGGCAATACAAATTCCCCGCAAGCCTCTTGAAGCCCTTGATGACACTGTCGTGCTGTAAGACCTCTGGCACATTCAATATTTATCCAACATCATTGTTCTTGTTTTGAAAACATCCTGACAACACTTACTTTAGACTGCAAGCTAATACAAGAATCCGTTCTTCGCGTCACTCCGCATGTGCATGACGTAGGCAGGGCGAGTCTTTTTGCTGAGAGGTAAGATAGGTATGTAGTTTACGTGTGGTATACGCGATATTCTTTGGTTTTGTTGCATAGCGTTTTTTCAGCTGTGTTGTCACTATTAAAGTTCCAACCCTCGTACATCTGTTGCTACTATTCAGTGAACAATCCACACTATAATTCTTAATATTTAAGTGTTTTTTTTCCCTTATGTAATTGTTTTAGTAAATTCATTAATAGAGTATTAGAAATGTTGATGAAAGGGTCAGTCAACAAAGAAAATTGTCAGGCTCACTGTGAAGGTGAAAAATTAGATTGCTGAAAAATATGGAGATAGCTAGCATATTTGAGACTTGCCTGTTGCATGCAGTACACCAAGCACAATGATGTCTATGATTGTGAAAAACAAAGATATAATTTTATCTAATTATCATTGTGAAGGAAGTCAGTTTGATTACCAAATAAAGATCAGAGTTATTAGCATATTGAAAATTTGCTTCTGATCTGGAAAGCAAAAAAAGTTTATATAGAGTGCCGTGGGCCATGCATCATTTATGTACAGTAAATATTTCATCCATGGCATTTGTATTTTAGTTTTGAACAGTGTCATAATTATAGCAATAGGATTTTTTATAAGAATGGATTAATTCATTTCCTTTATTTCTTATTGGAAAATAATCATGTGGTATACAATCTGGAATGGATTAATGATATATACCAATGTAGTATTATTGTGAAAGGATTTTTGGCACTGTGGAAAGGCATTCAGAAATTGTAACATGAATTGACTGTAACTTTTCATTGTTTTATACATTATTTTTGAATTATATTTAAACTTCCTATCCATGTGTTAAGATGTCACATAATTTATGAAACATCATGTCGCAGTTGAAGTTTATTTGAATACTCTATAATACATATGTTTGAAATACTACAGAAAACATATCTTGATGCAGGGCCTAATTTCATGTTAATATTGCTTCATTCATGCTTCTGAAATGTAGTGCAGTAGATTATACATCAAATTAATTTGATGACCATGATTTTGTGTAGATTATACTTTTTAAATTACTTTTTATGGCTTATGATGGATGCATAAAGTTACATTGGTGTACTCAGTGTCAGGGCATTAAAAATGTTAAGCATTTTTTTATGATTACTAACTCATAATTAAGCTTGATTTTTATTATTATATTCACCAGGTGACAACAAGATATATTTATCTTGCATTCCCTATGGGATTGAAAAGAGATGAGGGTATTTTTTGATATAAAGTATGTATAGCCATATGTATTTAGACATCTGTAGAAGGCATCTATGAGTTGGCTTTTGGTGCATGTATGCTAGAAAATATTCTAGAAACATAGATGCTTTTAAATTAACATTTAGCCTCTTAGCACCAAACATAAACAAAAATTGTCATGAAATCTTACTAGATGGTGTCAGCGCTATCGATACATAATGCTTTATGAAAAGAGTAGCTATATTGCAGCTAATGAAAGATGCTGAATTTGAAATATTCTGTGTTTTTTTAAAGCAAAAAGAGATTGATGTGCACATGGGGAGAATGAAACTGTTGTTCTCATGTACGGAAGAATCTGTTTTTGTTTAAAAAAACGACAACAGAGAAATATGTATGTTTGGCATCATAAACTAAACAGTATACATATTATTATTATACAGCTGTTCATAATGTAATATAAATCGGCTATCATTTTGGCTATTATAAGTATATAGCCAAAAATCATATATTAAATCATAATATGCTATCATAAGTATATTTGGACCTTTTACATGCACTTGTTGATTTGTATGCTCATACTCTTTCATGGCATTCACTATGTTTCACACAAAAATTGGGTGAATTTTATAATGCATCAGCTAAAATCCACAGACATATGATGGAATGACAATGTTCTCTTTTGGCACAGCAGTTCCCTCTTACGATGAAAAGTTGCAGCAACTGCTGACATGTAGTTTGCCACTTCACACAATTCTGTGAATATGTGAAAAGTATGCTTATATTACGAAAGGCAGTCATTGCCTGTTCAACCATTCATGACTATCTCTTTCATTTAATCATCCTGCTTCCATCATCTATTGACAAACTAAAAATATTTATTACAAAAATACTCACGCACATGCATGTGAGGTATCTATAAATATATATCTAAAAAAATTATGTATATCTTGAATGATGATAAAGTTTGTGTGACAATTTGAGCAGTTTCATATGCTTCTAGACTTACCTTGATAGTTAGCTGCCTAGGTGGATCTTTATATATATATATAGAGAGAGAATATTCAATAGCACATCGGGACAGGGTTGCTTTTTTTTTCCAGGGGGTCAAAAGCTTAATCTAACTACTTGTACTATTTCATATCCGTTAAACTTGTAAGCAGAGGAAATTAAGTGGCTTATCATCTGTTAAATTGTATATATATATATATATTTGGAGACACCTTGCTTGTATTGTTGTGTTTAAATGATTGTTCTTATGGTAACAAATGTTTGATATTTTTTGTAATTTTGATATGCACTCTATAATCATTATGTATTGATGGCTGTACTAGCAGTAAAGATATCACTGAGAATCTTTAAGGAAATGGATTAATTGCTCATTTTTTGTACTAAAATGATGAATTCAAAAACTGTTAGCAAAAGAGCCTGAAAATGCATACAAAAGAGTAAATTTATAAACAGAATTGAAATTATATTATGAAATGCAGACTCTTTCTTTTCTCTCTCTTTTTTTTTTTTTTTTTTTTTTTTTTTAACTGGAAGTGATTACAAAGAATGATTTGTATAGTTCTCTTCTATGAACAAGAGAAAGCTAATTGGCTTTGCTCTTTCTTATGTTGTATAGTAGTGGGATGGGTAGTTTTTTTAAATTTTTCCAAGTATATGTTATTTCAGTAGAAAATTCCATTTTCCACATGAGATCAGTGTTTTTCTTAATTTTGAAAAATATTTAGATATGAAGATTTCTTTTATTTTAGCTAATTATTTACAAATGGGGCCAAATGAGAAATTTTTTTTAACCTAATATTCAGCCCAGAACTAAATATATATGATCTGAAAAATTATTCTACATGTAATCTTTCTCACACTAAAATATAATAAAATAAATGCATGCAGGTCATAAAAATATGCAAATTATTATAATGGTATATAGAGCATAAGTACATATATAGCATCTGTGAAAGGGAAAATTATTCTTGTAATAAATATAGTGTAATAGAATTAGTGCTGAGCACCTTAGAAATGTTGTGTATTAGCTTATCAAATTTTTATGCTTGTTACCAAGATAATATTCAATAACTTGGAATTTTCTCTTCACTTTATTTAGCTTGCCATATAATCCTTTTTTAATGTGATGTAAATCTGAGAAGGATTACTAAGAAGTTTAAATTTGCTGTTTTAACTATGCATTATCTCATTACAAAACATAATTTTTTTAGGTAAAATTTTATATTTTCTGTGTTAGACTGTGTTTTCTGTGTTAGACTAAAGTTTTCTGAATAGCTATACTGAAATTTCTGACTTAATCTTACTAGTTTTTAAGGTACAAAATTACAGAAAAATTATGCATGTTTATTTAAATCATCAATACCTTGCATTTTATATTGAGTTTTTGACAAGTCATAATGTATTTTTTTCTATGTTCTTCATAGGTCCTTTATTTATGTAAAGAACAATGATCAGTCAATAGTATATTGCTCCTTTTGTTTGCTTGCTAACTTTTTGCTTTCTTTTAATTAGCTTCGTAATTCTTTATTCACAAACAATCCTAGATTTATCAGCAAAAAGCTGAACAAGGTTCTGATTTATGACCTCATCTGAGTTGAATGCTATGCCATGAAAGAAATTTTGAAGAGAGCAAAACAAGTTTGATGTAACAAGATCAAGCTTTCATCCAAGACAACACTTTTCATCCAAATTCCAATAACTTTTGTCAGGTGATCAAACTTGAGTGTGGTCTCTATTATCAGGATGGAATCCAGTTCTTATATAAGTAATGAATTCTGAAAGTTTCTGGAAGTTGAATTTATTGAAACTGTACAGTTGGCAACAGCACACAGTTGAACTGATTTGTTGGCTCATTGGTAGAAGCTTGGACACAAAACCATATAAAAGTTTGATCACTGACAAAAGGTATTGAAATTTAGATGAAAAGTGTTGCCACATGTATCATACTCACCTATCTCGTGCCTTCAGACTTTCATATGTCTTCAAAATGTTTTTTTTTTGCTGTATAACATTCAATTCAAATAAGGCTGTAAATCAGCATCTAGTTCGGCTTTTCACCAATAAAGCTAGGTTCTTTTGTAAATGAGCAATTATGAAACTTATTGAAAGAAAGTAAAATGTTTTCAAACTGGAAAATATACCATTGACTGATAATTATTCTTTATATAACTAAAGGATCTTTGAAGAACATAGAAAAATTTGTCATGACTTTTCAGGACATCATGAAATCATGACTGTCATGAATTTTAGCAATATTATAATTGCTAAAATTGATTTGTTGGTCTGAATATTCATTTGCAAATTTCTATATTATGTTTATCATTATTTATTTGATTTATATTTCTTAGATTTATTATTTAACACTGTATTGTGTTTGTTACTTTGAAATCTGATTTCTTAATTTTTGTAATTTATTTTATGTTACTGAAATAAAAAATGTAACTCATTTTATTTGATTTTGTAGTTTTATTTTGTGTTAATTTCATGTTTCTGTTAGCATCTTTTATGAATTTACTCATTTTCATGAAATCAGCATGGATTTAATGCATTACATGGAAGAGACTGCAATCACTGTAATATATAAAGCATAGTTTTGCCATCATAGTTAAGCTGTATTTAATAAGGCTGCATGTAATATGTTAAACAAGCCTAGCTACACCATTTTTGGCATCCTAGGTAATCAGTGCTCTGTATAGATTGAATTGGATTCTTTTGTTTATGGCAAAGCACGTTGGGGTTATCTTCTTATCTGTATACTTAAATATCTTAACAATTCAAAGCAACATATGCTTTTATTTAGTTGTCCCTTGTAACTTGTACCCTCTGAAAGTTGGCTACCTGTGTCAGCTGACCTTGATGCTAAACTATGGTTATTAAGTATTTAAAGAGTGCAGGGCATCATCAAATAAGCAAATAAACCGATAGTAATAGATCTTACCATTCTACATGAAGTATGGCAAAATTTATTAGGTATGTGATAATGATTTTATAGGAAAGTATTATTTTATGCAACAAATCATCACATTTTTGTATGGATAGAGGTTTGGGAGCTGATCATAAGATACTGTAATAAGTTTTTACATGTATCTATCTCCCTTTCAGTTAAAGAAAAAAAAAGCTGTTTTTGTTTATGTATGATATCTTTTATATATTTGTAATAATATAAAGCATTAACAGCATAAGATTCTGAAGCATATCAAAGTAATTGAGTAAAGGATAATGTGATTGATTTGTGATAGTACATGCATTTGGTAATAAAATTAAAATATTGTATAAAATTAAAATCTGTGGTATAAAATGCATGGAAACCCAAACTGAGAAATGCTAATTATACTGTATTTATAGGGTTTTGCAATAGTGTTCTTATTATGGAATTACAGAAAAGTACCTGTAGCTGTTTTGCCTGAAAAATGGTTGTATCCATTAGCTTCTGTATTATCTTATCCTTCAGGTGTTCCTGGTAAGTATTTTGTATAAAGTACTTTTGAAAGGAAAAGTTAATACAATTAACAATAAGATAGACTTTAAATTACATGTATATATAAATATATATATTATAACAGTAAGGCACATTGAAACTACATTAAAATATTTCAGTAATGATCATACCAAAAATTTTAAATATCAAGAAGAATTAGAATTTTCATGATATTCTTAATGGCAGTGTTTTTTTCAGGGGGAGGAAGGGAATTGTAAAGTATTGTACTTACTTTGTTCAAAAGTATTTTCAACAGTGCAGTTAATATGCAATTGATTCATTCATACATTTTTTAATAACACAAACATTTTCAATATTAAAAAAAAATTACACAGCTCTAACAGTCTTATTAAAAAGTGTTTTTAAATTTAATTAATACTTATTAAAGTTATTCAGTATTTAAGTATTTTAGCAGTCTATGTATTTGTGAAATGGTCATGCATTAAATATGCATTATTTGATGAACTTTAACATTTTCTTCTGGAAATCATTTATATGTCATAAAACTCAAGTTTTTGTATTTTAATCAGTTTTACATTGTAAGAAATATAATCAGGGCTGAAGGGGGAGGGAGACAGAAAAAGTACCAGAATCGCAAAAAGTAGAAACAGCATGTTGCAAAAGTAATAATATTAAATCTTATTTCTTTTCTATATAATAAATAATCTGTTTAGACTGAAATTTTGTATTTCTTAAAAATAATATTATGATGTGTTTATGAATATATGGAACTAGTCCATGCTACGGTATACATCATAACTCGCTTAAAAAAAATTTCAGTAGTGAAAATCGAAGTATGAAAATTAATTGCAGCATATGGTAAGTCTAAATGTTACTTGCTTCATAAATGAAATTACTTTATATGCAAAATATAGGGTTTGGCCTATTTTTCACTCTGGCCATGAAAATTATGCTTATTTTATCTTGCCTTTTCTTTCTGTAGTTTGGTGAACAGAATTGGAAGGTGAGCAGATGAATGTATTTACAGACTTTTTTCTGTTACTGTTTTTAAAATTTGTGTATTTTTCATCCATTTTGTTACTTTTCCCATTTTTTGCATACTTTCCACATTTATTAAATGCTGCCAAGAATAGCAATAAATTGGCAACAGTAGATCTAATGTAAATTATGTAAATTTGACAAAAATGAAGTGCATGTGCTATTTGTTTAGTCACTGCAAAAGTAAACATCCGTCAGCATACAAAAAAGATAAGAGCATATTATTTTGAAATAATTTTAAAGTATGTAATTGCAATTCTGTTAAGATGATTATTGCTGCTACACTCGTTGTTGTTTATTTTTGGTCTAATTTCAGTATATCTTGTTGCATTATCGATTCATACATTTGAAAGTTGGACTGATATTTATGCTAATGACAACTTGATTATAGTTTATTCTATTTGTCATGAGAAAAGCTGTGATTAGGCATTGTTACTGTGCTTTATTCTTGAAAAAATATATTTACAATTTTTAATTTTCTGACCACAGGAAAATAACAGCTAGACCATGTTTTAATATTAATACTCTTTTATTTGAAGGACCGAAGAAGATGTTACACCGTTCTTCTAAAAAAGAGGCATTTTATCAAGTATGCAAAAATGACCACGAAATGAAACTTTTCAGACTTCTCAGAGTGTTTAAAAATGAATTATACGATTTAAAAAAATCATAACTATTCAGCTTTTAATTTGTTTTGATCAAATAATGTATGGGTAGAAAGAGGGAAATCTTGTGTTGCATGCAGTTGGTGACAGGTAGTGCTAGCACTCTTTTCTCTCCCTCCACTTCAGTGTTGTCTAGATGGCAACTAGACAACAGAAATTGTTCTGTGTTTTACACATTGCAAAGTATGAGTCCATAATAATTGTGTAGCATGCTTTTTGCTGAAAAGCTGGAAGTGGGCCACATTTTGATTCCCCCCCCCCCATTTTTCCTAAATAATTTTTTATTTACGAATGACTGAGGAAAATGCTGTATCATTCTTCTAGAAGGACACACTTTATTTCACATGAACTTGGCGATAATCTTGGCAACATTATGATTTGGGCCCTGAAAAATGGGAGAGTACCGTAATTTTTTTTACATCTTTATCTTTTATATTCGTTCATTGTTTGCCTGTTTCTATACTAATATTTATGTATTGTTTGACATTTAAAAAAAAGTAAAAATGTTTTCTTTCCGTTTGCTGACCTCATATATTATGACTATGTATAGGGCTTAAAGGAGATAAACACTTTCAAAGTTTTACAGAAGCAAGAGTTTCAATAGCATGGCAGAAATGCATAGTTAAAGGAATACTCCCTAAATTTATATGGTTAAGGGGACAGTTTTTTAACATTGTAGATATCAATATTTGTGATATCCCAAACACATTTCAGCATGTCCATGCCAGCAGTTGTAGCAGTTATTATAATGCACTGTTTCAGATAATTCAAACTTGTAGGAAAAGGAGGAGCAAAAACTTGGTCCTTATCCTTGCAAGAATTCACATAATATAAAATCTGGGCCTCTTGGTAACCAACAAGCCAGAGCTAAGTTCTGGTCTATGTCGCCCAGATGGTATAGTGGTTAAGGAAGCTGACTGCAATATCAAAGGGCCTGGGTTTGAACCCTGGAGAAGGCATGGTTGTAACTGTACATTCCATCATAGGAGGCACAGGTGGCCCACCTATTAGGTGCCTCCATAATAAAGTGACCACCACTTTTGGTCTTAGTAGCGGCCAAGCCGAAGTCAGCCGAGGGCCTGTTATTGATTTAAAAAAAAAAAAAAAAAAAAACACTTTCTGGTCTATTGAGAGGCAAATTTTTGTCTATAACATGTTTTAAAATTACAATGTACAACAGTAATAAAGTTCCATTTGCTAATTCAAGCACACGAAAAGCTTACTTCTACTCGATTAGTGGCCGTTTTACTTGACTGATACCAAGTGCTTACATGATTCTAATACCATGGAAACAAAAGAAAAGAAGGGATCGTACACTTAGAATTACTCGACAAAATGGTGTTAAATATTTCTTAATAAAAACAAACACTTTTTGATTTATAACATTTAATTTGTGTATTTCATTTAAACTTATACTATTTACATAATTAGAATATGAATACATCAGAATGGTCAGATGTTTCAGCTTTCTTCAGATAAAAAGTAATTAGATAGCTAACATGGAAGTTTTTTCCCTCCATTCTAGAAAATGTGAAAAAGATCAAGCCGTATGATATATCCTACTTTGAATTCTTATTTTTAAATCTTAGAGACTGAAGTGTTTTTTTATTGAAATAAAACATCAGTGTACAGAACTTTTGTTGAATTCCTAAACATTGATATGAAATGTAGAAAAATGAAAATATGGAGATAACATTAAAGTGCATCTTTTATCTGAAAGACCTCTACAGCTGCATGAGTTAATAAAAATTAATGAGCATAGTTGTTTTGTTTTATCAATTGTTTGGCTTGCAATTTACTTCTCTGAAACAAAAAAGGATACATAATTGCCATAATGTGAAAATAACACAGAATCATTGGGCATTTAGCCTGAGTTATTATTTTTTTACTTAAATGTAAACTTTACTAGAAAAAGAAAAATTTCTGAGTTGTAGCCAGTGAAATAAAAAAAGGTTGATTAAGTAAGATATATAGAACATATCAGTATACCAATGACAGGTTCATTTCTGTCATACATTTATAATATAAATACATTTCATAAATAAATAGGTATTCAATCTCGTAATAGTAGATTCCAGTAAAGCATTTTATAACAAAATATGACTTTTTCATTAATTAGAATTTTGAATTGAAAATATGTTTTGCCTTGTGTTTATACCATAATATAAATTTTTTACTCTGTTGATCATTAACCATTAGAGTTTGTCAGTTTATACTCAAATGCCGTTTCAGTGGCTAATCAAATGTAGCTGTTCATTAAGAGCTGAAGAACTTGAGCTGCCATCTGTTGAAAGAAACTGAAATTTCCTGAGTTACATAAAGCAGATTTTAATCGAAATTTAGTTTCAAGCTTTTTAAAATTATTGACCTGCTTATTACTTTTGTATAGTTTATTTACAATAATGAAGTAATATGTATAGTAATGCATCTCAGATCCAGAGTTTAAATTAGAGTTGTTATATTTAATTGATTGTAAATCTGAAATACAAAACTAGATTCATATAATATATTCTCCATTTGAAATCTTATAGAAAATACATGACAGTTTAATGTGATACAGCTGTTATTAAAATTGGAATCTTCTGAATCTCATTGCAATTCTGAAACTACCATAAAATTGTTTATTTATTTATTTTTTCAGTATATATTTTCAACATACATTTTATGTTTTATAGAAGGAAAAGATTTTTGTGATACAAATCTTGAGCATGAAAAGGATTAAAATATTGATAAAAAAATGTTTAAAATGCATTTTGAAGAAAATTTAGAAGTTCATCCCTGTGAAATTGATAAATATTATGAAAAAATAACAGATTGTTTGCTAAGATGGATTAAGTAGGAAAAGTCTATAAAAATTTGAATGGAATCTATAATATACTTGCTGATTAAAGTTTTTATTTCCATTTTGGATACAGGTGTAAACTGGCATGAAAGAGAGATGGTGCCTTTTGGCAGTTGATGTATAGTGCTTTCAGCAGGTACCAGGAGTAATATAAATTTCAAAGCCAGGAAACTGTTTATTTAAATATTAGAGAAACAAGGTTAAAAATATTGGAATGCATTATTCTTTTCTATTTGCTGTTCTAATAAGCACTTAAGAATATATACATTTAGGCAAGAATCAACTCTACTTTGATGTTGGTTTTGTAGAAAATCTTCGTTGATTTTGAAGGAGACGTACATGTGTCATCATCAAGAAGTGAAATGTTCTGCACTACAGACCGGAAGTATGTTATTTAAATAGGTGAAATAAAAAATAGCTAAAAAATAAATATAGAAAAGGAAGCAATAAAATGTAATATTATCTGTCATGCAAAATAGAGTCTACGATTCTCTGTTTTCCAAAATTTCGCTCGATTTCATTTGTAACTGAGGTATACAAAAGTTCGAGAAGGACGAGTGGAAAACTAAAAAAGTTAATAAAATGTATAGTTTTCCAGTTTTAAATATGGGCTATACTACTTGGAACAAATTTGGTTATGTTTCTTGGCATAATAATGATATCTGTTCCGATGATCTCAGAGATCACGTGACTTATGTATAGCTAATGTAAACAAACAAGGTAAATGATCTCAGAGCCCATGTGATTTATGTATAGCTAATGAAAGCAAACAAGGTCGTGCTTCCTGTGTTCTCTTGCAGAATGTATCTCATTTGGTTAGAAAATTAATTTTCATATATATTGTCATCACCAAAGGTGGTAAAGCCACCTCTGGCAATTATACAAGCTGATACTCGTTGGACATGGAGTCTATAAAGTTGCCACTGTCCCTCTGCGATAAATTGTGCCACAAATGGAGCAACTAGTCAGCGAGTTGGGACATATTTGTACACGGCTGAATTTACCTGCGCAACATGTCCTTTATGACACGCGCAGATAAATAATTCTGCAATTTTTGTTGTATTAGCGTTTTGTATTTTCTTTTTTATAACAAGTATAAACCAGGGTTCGTACAGTCCTTAAGAGTCCTTAGATTTTTTGGAATTGATTTTTGGTCCTTAAAAGTCCTAAAATTTGGCCAAAATCAACAGAGGGTCCTTAATTTTAATATTCTGAAATTTCTGTCTGTTTTTACGACTGTCATTTTGAGTGTGAATTAGCATTTTGAGGAATATTTTTGGCGATTCACTGCCGTATATATGGTAATCTTTTGAATGGATTCATGAGTTATAATTTATTTCTATTTCTAATATGAATGATGGGATACTCGAGTTTCTAAGCAAGAAGTGAAACATAAGCATTTCGAAATTCATTTTTTCTAGTAAAGAGCTCTTAAAGAACTTTTTGCTTTTGGGGATGTGAATAATATTAGTTTCTATAGAAACTTTTTAATTTCAAAATCTGAGAATTATTCGACGATTTTTTAAACATCGTAACATTGATAAATTTTATTAAAATAATGGTAATATATTGAAATTATATTTAAAAATAACATTAAAATATTTTTATTTTTCACTGTCATATTATAAAGTTTCATTTTGGCAACTTATACAATATTTTCAATCTGAAAAATAAACAAGGTATAAAGCTATAAAGCACAATTTACGAAACAGCTCTTAGCAAAAGCAAAATTAGCTATGTAATTAATTAAAAATGTCTTGTTTTTAATGTTTTCATAGTAAAGAGTTTTTCCCATGTAATTGTCTCAGAATATTCAAAATTCTCAGAATGTGCATCAGTTTTCTCTATAAAATTAATTTTATACTTTTTCCCTCCTACTTTTTTTCCAAAATATTTCTGGCTTTTTCTGTGACAGAAATAGTAGGGATAATTTTTCTTTATGATTTAAGACATTGCAGCTTAGAAAGTTTAGAAGGATTTGAAGGCAAGATTTATAGACTCACGATTCTAGAAGATTCAAGATATATGTGACAAAATGAAAAATGTCTCCATTCTATCAGCACATAGTGGATGTATTTTACAGAAAGTTTGCAATGAATTTCTTAATTTTGGGAGAACATCTGGAAGAAAATGAAAACATAATATTTGAATGTATTACTTCTGATACTAGAATCTTAACATGTTTATCTTCTCTACTTTTCACTAGACAGAAGCATGGAAAATATCAAAAATGCTTGTGATCTTATCACATGGGAATGCATTATAGAAAGGGATGTTTTTATTAATAAAGAAATTGAAAACTTACAATTTAAAATATTTGTCTAAAATTTTTTAATGCATCATACACATAGCTGGCACTAGGCATTTTCCCACCTGATGTAATCTCTGGGGATCCTAAATTCTGCTTCCAATGCTTGCTCTAAATTCTAAAAGTTTTGCCATTTCTAGATTTTGTTGTTCGGTGTGTCACTAAATTCTAGAAATTCTGCCACATCAACTCTGTAACCGTCCTTTACTATATATATTTCATATTGCTTCTGAATGTTCATATTACTAAAGGAATAAAATTAGCCGCTTTTTCTGTACATTCTAAATGCATTTAGTGTTTTTTAGAATAACGGAAATCCTTAATTAAATCCAAAAATTCTAAAATGAAAAGGAAACGTGTTGAAGAAAGAAACTGAGTACGTAAAGGAAATTATTCCTTAAAGATATGTGCAGTTATTACCCAATTGTTTATGATTTCAACCTTTACTATAATTTTCCATTTCTGTTTCCTCATATGATAGAGTTATTGAGCCAGATTAAATTACAATTAAATTATATAATCTTTGACCACTAGTCCACATTATTAGTTTGAATCTGACTGTTCTTGTTTAATTACGTCACTGTGAGCTGTAATTGATTTTGTTAGCATCAGAACATGCCTTTATGTTCTTTAAGTTCTTTTTAAACAAGAGGCTTATTTAAACCTTTGTCTGATATTGTAGTTAATTTCAGACATAGCGATAATATGCTTCACGTCTGTCGGGGTTTTGGGCTATTTAACTTTTACCAGATCAATTTAACCCTCATAGGTACATTATGGAGAGTTTGACAAGTTAGGAGATGAAGCACGCAGAAACTAGTGAGAGCATTGGTTTGCATATTGAGACAAATCTCTAATTGTTAGAAAAGATTCTTAAAAGAGAAGGAAATCGATATAAACGTTCAAATATGACTAACTATCATAAGTGTAAAATATTTAATGCTACTTGATAAGTTGCTTAGTTTATTTTATTCTCAAACTTATTAACAATTATGTTAATTAAGTCATGTTTAGGAATAATGTGTACTACTTAGGGATCTGTTTTATTTTTAGGATGGTATTACAAAAGTGAAATTTAGGCATAGATAATATCTTCAATTGAATTTATTCAGTTCCCGTTTGCTCATAGGTCCTTAATTTTTTTTACTAATGGTACTTAAAAGTACTTAATTTCCATGTGCAGAAGTGTGTACGAACCCTGTAAACGTTTAAATATAACTGTAGGGACCAGGAAACAGATTGCCGTATTATGTGCAATATAATATAAATGCACAATTCACTTCCTGACTTTGAATTTCTAATCAAACATTTAATATTAGGCATATGTTAAACATAATATATTAGGCATATATTAGAAAAAAGGAAACACAGAAGTCTTCTGTTGCCCAGCATTGTTGGTCAGAAAAATCACACTTTCCACTTTTCTGCAGCCAAAATTATTCAAAAAACAAGTTCCGTTGGTGAATTAAATTTTCTAGAGGCATTTCACATTAAAAAAAATCTTTCTGTTCTAGTTAACGATCCGAATTCCAATATCTTCAGCCTTTAAGAAAATTATATTTTAGTTTTCTTGTTTCATCAATAGATGGTGCCAGTAGCTTAACTCCTGTCTAGCCATTCTCAGCTTATCTCTTCACTATATTTCATCTCCTTCATCTGCCCTTTGGCGGCTGAGGCTGATGGTTCGCTAAAACCATCGAAACTAGTCCTTGAAAAGTTGCAAATATAACGCTGATTTTTGTGCATTCAGTACTTGTCAAATGAAATACTGATATATATTTGACAAAAATGCATTTTAATTCGATGTAAGTCATTTGCTACAGGTAACAAAACAAGCCATTTTTATTTTTAAAAAATGCATACGGTTAACAGCACTTGTTTGGTATTGCCTTTGCAAGAGCCTGCTTCCCTCTTCCCAACTATTTGTTCGAAAAATTTTTTCGAGAAGTAGCAACAAGGGGAAGGCAGAAGGAGAAAAACCGAATGTTATGTGTCGATTTTGTGCCTGTAAAAACGAAATTTATTCTATTGTCAGTTTGCTGCATAAATAATTAATATATAAATAATAAAACTGCTCTTATAATGCAAGACTTATGCATAATTTATTTTGGAATATTTAGCGATTTTTTTTATTTGAATTGAAATCAGTTTGATTATGTTTAAGCATTTCATATTATTCCTTCTTTATGATACCATAATTGAATTAAATTTTAATCAGAAGGAAAAGCATTATTAATACTTGAATAACATAAAAAGATTATGTATAAATGCGTGTAATTTATATATATTTTTATTTTAGGTGGTATTAGTCTGACAGCTTGGTTATTTATATCTGGTTCATTTGGAAGAGTTATGGCTACTTCATTAACATTGTAAAATTTGTAATTAATTAAAAAAAATTTTGCAATATCATAGTCATTTTATACAAGTCGTTTTTTGTAAATTTTCTTTTTGTATTCTATAACTATTAAATTATGTTGATAAATCATTAAAACAAACTGTTGTTTTTTTTTCTAATTTATCGTTTGTTACATTTCTGCCTCCTTCAGTATTGATAAAATATGCTTATAAGCTTGACCTTAATTGTAATGAGAGTCAAAGATCCAGCAAAAATTTCTTGTTAAACCATTTCATACTGTCTTGGCAATAAGTTAAATCTAATCGATATTCTTAAAAACTTAAGATTTACAAAATTGAAAATATTGTAATTAAAACTGATACAATGACATAAGAACATTTTTGTTTTAGCATATTTGTAAAGAGTGTAGCGTACTTTTATCAACTACCATTTTTTTTTAAAATTTCAATATTACGTATGTAATACTAAAGCAGTGTATTTTTTTTTAAACTGGGGGTAGTGACATATCAAATTGTAATAAAAATATTTTGATTTTTTTTGTTGTTGTTAACGAAGTTTTAAATTAGTGTATGTTTCAGAGGTTTCTCTATAAACCTCATATTTTTCTTTATAAGACTTGATTATTAAAAATCTTTCAGTATTAACAAAAATGCATTTCTCATTGAAATCTGTATGAACGCAGCAGTGCTGGTTCAGTTAATGGATATATAAAGGCCTCCAACTCAGAGAATGCTAACATAAATATTCTTTTGTTGTCATAAATCGTATTTAGAATAAGTTTGTCACTTTTGTTCTTATTAAAAGTTCTTTCAATCTAAAATATTCAGTATGTTTGGAAAAAATATTAACTCTTTTTTCTAGACATTTATTATAATAATAAAAAAAAATAGTTGCTAAATCGCCTAGAAGCAGGAAACAATAAAATGAAAAGATGTTTACGACGTAGCATTTTGCAATTTTCCAAAATTTCATATTTTATGAATCTCATGATCGATTCTTAAAACGAAAATATGTAATAATAAATAAATAATTAAATAAATAAATACTTATATTTAATTAATTAAAATAGGTATATAAATATATAATATGTATATAAAACTCATAGTCAGAATAGACTTAAAATTCTAACGTTATTTCTGTTCTTTAATGGCGACGTTCTTTTATTTGAAAGTACATGGAATTAATTCACACCCCGTAGTCAAGGTTTTTCCCACCTTTTTGCACGTACAGTTATAGAATGTTCTGGAAATATTTAAAGCGACTGGATTGGCTGAGTCATTTCTTTGAAAGCTCCGCCTTTCCAGAGGCTATAAAAGGACTCGCAAATGAATATCGGGCTTTTCTAAATGGCACGATGCAGTAAACTCATACAAAAAGTTATTAGTAATTCTTTTTATTACTCTGGATATCTGATTTTGTAACTGCATTTCTCCTGAATAATAATAAATGGACCTGTTTTTTAAATTATCGTTGATAATTTAGTACGCTACACTATATTTTCAATGATTATTTTTCTGACAAAGCTGATACATCACATATATATATACACCTAATTTAATGAATATATATATATATATTTGTTAATACGTAATAATATCAAAATCTAACACGAAAAGAAAGGTACTGAATCTTGGAAAAAACGCGATAAGTATGCAGGGAATTCTGAAAATCGTCATGTTCACACGAAGAAAATAGTACATATTTCATGTGACTAAGAATGTTCTGATTTCGGATTGAATGTGTAAAATATATGATAACACATATGTATAAGGTCCACTAAAAGAAAAAGATCAAACAATAATGTACGTTATCCAGCTACGTTTTATTGAACTCAATCATAGTACAACGTTATTACGAATGATAGGGTTTCGAAAGGATATATTTTGTAAAGTATTTCAAATTTTAAAAGAATGGTTACAACATGAAATGAAGTAAAAGTCTTTCAGATGTTAATCATAACACTACAGATGTTTAGTGTGTGCTCCTCTTGTTACAGAATACACAGCCAAGCCTTACTCCAAGTATGTCAGTATGTGTTGTAATGTTTTTCGCTGACTGTCAGTAAAATAGTAATAATGCAGTTTTGAAGCTACTGTAATATGGTTGGCAGTAGGGGGAAACATCAGCATTGTCTTTAATATAGCCTAAAAGGAAAGAAAAAAGTATTATCTCTGGGCATAAGGTCAGGATACTTTAGTGACTGTCTGAACAATGGAATATCATCTTTTGTATGTTGAGCAGTCTAGAGACGTGAGAGCTTATTATTATTTAGGTTAGGGGCGTATTTCACCATGCCATTGAAATAGAGCCCATTCTTGCTGGAATATGAAATTTTCTGAATCATCTTTTATTCAAAGAAATGTGGTGTCTGAAATCAATCTACCAATATGATTCAGGGTGCCGCACAATAGGAAATATTTGATACAATGCAATTCCCAAGTCAATGTGTGCAGAGTTAGGGAATACAGGACAAGAATACAGACTGAAAGTTTTATTATACATTCTATAACAAAAAAAATCGACGCACCTAGAAGGAATCATCCATTGCTTTGAAATTTCGTATGCATAATATTTTGACCGAATATGCAAATGATTAAAATTTGGTGTCCAATGAATGAATAGTGCCATCTCCAGCGCATCCAGCAGATGTATATGAGGAGCTGATCTTGAACTGCTATTAAAAATCTCTGTTGCATTGCGATTCAGGATACATTTCAACGACTGAAAAGATGCCTCGCAGGATTCGAGCTCATTACTAGCAACTATCAGAGTTTGAAAGAGGTCGTATCATTGGATTGAAAGACACAGGTTGGGCAAATCGGAGAATCGCTCGTCATATGAGTCGAAGCGATGCGGCGATTAAAAGATGCTGGCAAGAACGGGTGTGCAATGGCAGATTTCAGCTCATGATGATAGCGGTTTACCTAGGGCCACAACAGATCGGGAGGACAGAGTGATTGTCAGATCAACTGTCACAGCGCCTGATTCATCGCTATCAACCATCAGACTGGCGATCTGCATACAATTGTCCACCATGCCCATTCACAGACGGCTGATAGAGCGGAATCTACGCTCGTACCGACCGTTATGCCACCTACCACTCACGTCTGCACACTGTCGAGCCAGATTACAGTGGTGTTTGGCTCGATTATGTTGGAAAGATGCCGACTGGGGACGCATAGTCTTTGGCGACGAATCTCGCTTCCAAATGTGTCGTGACAATCATCGAAGACGTGTCTGGAGACGCCTAGAGCAGCGGGCCGATTCTTTTTTCACGATTGTATGCCACACAAGGCCTTCAGCCAGGAGTTATGGTCTGGGGTGTCATTTCCCTTGATCCTTTGGACCCATTGGTCGCACTTACATAACAGCGGTACATCGACGACCTGTTTTGCTACCGTTCCTTTTGCAGTACCCTGGCCTTGTTTTTCAGCAAGATAATGCCAGATCACATACGACACGTGTTGCTTTGAACTGTCTAACAGCTTGTCAAATACTTTCTTGGCCAGCCAGGTTGCCAGATCTCTCTCCCATCGAGCATGTCTGGGATATGATGGGAAGGCAACTGCATCTACCAGAGAATGTTGATGACCTAGCCCGACAATTGGAACAAATTTGGCGAGAAATACCGCAGGAGACCATCCGGTAGCTTTATCAGTCTAGCCGTGTGGCAGCTTGCATCCAGGCTAGAGGTGAGTGAACACCTTATTGAACTCGTTACTTTGTAACTATGTAACTCTGAAATAAGTCATTCAATTATTCTCTGAAGTTTTAATCATTTTCTATTCTGTACTAAATCTTTCTATCCTCCAGTTTTTGTCTCCATCGGACAACTCCTCCTTGGTGCGTCGATTTTTTTGTTATAGAATGTATATTAATTATACATCATTTAAAGATATTATATTCATAAAAATAAACAACATAAAATATAACCATTCCTTTCAGATAAATAAAAAATTAAAATTATACTATGTTATGTATCTTTTAAACACATTTATTAAAATATGAAAAATATAAGACATAAAATATAAAGTATTCCTTCAATACAGTTAAATAAAAAAATTAAAAGTTTAATGCGAACCATGTCACTCTACCGCTGTACTTAATATCGCATTAACGGCGTTTAATTTGTGACTTTCAATTTGATACATGATTCTGAATATTCAGTTGTTAACCAACTTCTTTTTTGGACTTTCTTTCTTTCCACCGACAGCGAGGCAGCCGGTCCACTGGGGCAGTTAGCATATCGGCCAGATACCCCCGCTGACGGAAATAACTCGATCAACATAACATACTTTGGTACATATTGGGCTTAAGACGAGTGCTGGGGACAGTGGAAACAAATGCTGGACGAGACGATAGTGCAGTGACGGAAGAAGGGTGCATTGCGGGTGAGGTTAGGTTAGGTTAGATTATTTAATTACGGCAAAGCCTCGGGGCTATTGCTAAGAGGAGTGATGCTTCGTGGAGGACTTTCTGAGGGAAACGGCTCGTATATATACGTTACACATGGGGAAAAAACGAAAAACACCATGCAGCCAGCCCGTTCGCGGGATTCGAACCTCGGACCGAATTACCAGTGTTCAGCGACTTTACCGCTCGGCCACTGGTGAGCCCATTGCAGGTGAGAACAATTTCAGTTACATATTTACAGAGTTATGGATAGGTGGTTACGAAAGGCATCCACAATGTGAACAATAAATGAGTACAGGGCAAATATATGAGCATTTAACAGAGTGACTGATAAAACAGTGAAAATATTATCTAAAATAATCGAAATTTACATTTTGAAAGTGTTTATACATACTAGTATTAACATCACAGGAAAATATGTTTGATTTTGTAGCAAAGCCTTTTCAGCATTAAAAAAGTTCAAGCACTGTTTGGCCCTTTCCTTGCAATCCTTAGTTCACTGAGATGTTTAGTTATATCAATCAGAAACATCAATTTGCATAACCATTCTGTATCATTCAATTCGAAAAATTGTTGATTCTTCTCATTATAAGAAAAACTTCAATGTGTTCCATGCATGACACAAACTTATTCAACCTCAATTAAGCCAGTGGACATAGCTGTATAAGGGAAGATCCACATATTCACTTTCCATTTCTTCTGAAAGAGATTTAAATTGCCTGGATA